GAAGGAGACAGAGACAAAGATCCCCCAGGTAGCCTCCAGCAGGGCTGTAGGGGCAAGTGCTGTTAGTGGCGAGTAGCAGTGGCTATGAAAATACATAGACAAAGATCCCTCAGGTAGCCTCTAGCAGGTTTTAGGGGCAAGTGCTGTTAGTGGCGAGTAGCAGTGGCTATGAAGGAGACAGAGACAAAGATCCCCCAGGTAGCCTCCAGCAGGCTGCAGGGGCAAGTGCTGTTAGTGGCGAGTAGCAGTGTCTATGAAGGAGACACAGACAAAGGTCCCCCAGGTAGCCTCCAGCAGGCTGTAGGGGCAAGTGCTGTTAGTGGCGAGTAGCAGTGTCTATGAAGGAGACACAGACAAAGATCCCCCAGGTAGCCTCCAGCAGGGCTGTAGGGGCAAGTGCTGTTACGAGCGAGCAAGGCTACCGGGCACTGTGGCAAAACAGAGGGGGTGGGTGGCCACCAGCCCGCCCGGCCGCCTTTGTATCCCCTAGCGGCGACGATTGCTGTGCAGTGCAACACCGGCCACTGATTGGGGGGCTCAGTCGACCGAGGGGAGAGTCCCCAGATCCCGAGGATCCGGGTGTCGGCGGATGGCGGCGGTGAGCGGGACTTGAACTCGGGTCGCCGGGAGTTCGTAGGTGCGGTGCGCTAACCGCTGCACCACCGCTCAACCACACAGCCACCATGCGTGCACCAATACATCCACCTCACCCACTCAGCCACCCATCTCACTCACACACCGGTTCACTCACCCACTAGTTCAGTCACTCACCAGCTTACTCACTCACCATCTCATTCATTCACCATCTCACCCACCCACCATCTCACTCAGCCACCATCTCACTCACCAACAATCTCACTCAGCCACCATCTCACTCACCCACCATCTTACTCATCCACCATCTCACTCACCCACCATCTCACTCACCCACCATCTCATTCACTCACCCACCATCTCACTCACTCACTCACCATCTCACTCACTCACCATCTCATTCACTCACCCACCCACCATCTCACCCACCATTCCACTCACCCACCATCTCACTCACCCACCATCTCACTCACCCACCATCTCACTCACTCACCAACTCACTCACTCACCATCTCACTCACCCACCATCTCACCCACCCACCAACCACTCAGCCACCATTTCACTCACCAACAATCTCACTCAGCCACCATCTCACTCACCCACCATCTCACTCACCCACCAACTCACTCACTCACCATCTTACTCACCCACCATCTCACTCACCTACCAGTTCACTCACCATCTCACTCACCCACCATCTCATTCACTCACCCACCATCTCACTCACTCACTCACCATCTCACTCACTCACCATCTCATTCACTCACCCACCCACCATCTCACCCACCATTCCACTCACCCACCATCTCACTCACCCACCATCTCACTCACCCACCATCTCACTCACTCACCAACTCACTCACTCACCATCTCACTCACCCACCATCTCACTCACCCACCACCTCACCCACCATCTCACTCACCCACCAACTCACTCACCAACCATCTCACTCACCCACCATCCCACTCACCCACCATCTCACTCACCCACCATCTCACTCACCATCTCACTCATCCACCATCTCACTCACTCACCATCTCACTCACCATCTCACTCACCCACCATCTCACTCACCCACCAACTCACTCACCCACCAACTCACTCACCCACCATCTCACTCACCCACCATCTCACTCACCCACCAACTCACTCACTCACCAACTCACTCACCCACCATCTTACTCACCCACCATCTCAGCCACCCACCATCTCACTCACCCACCATCTCACTCACCCACCATCTCACTCACCCTCCATCACACTCACTCACCATCCCACTCACTCACCATCCCACTCACTCACCCACCCACCATCTAACCCACCATCTAATTCACTCACTCACCCACCATCTCACCCACCCTCCATCTCACCCACCCACCATATCACTCACTCACCATCACACTCACCCACCATCTCACTCACTCACCAACTCACTCACCCACCACCTCACTCACCATCACACTCACTCACCATTCCACTCACCCACCATCCCACTCACTCACCATCCCACTCACTCACCCACCCACTATCTCACCCACCCACCATCTCACTCACCCTCCATAACACTCACCCACCATCCCACTCACCCACCATCTCACTCACCATCTCACTCACCATCCCACACACTCACCATCTCAATCACCCACCATATAATTCACTCACACACCCACCATCCCACTCGCCCACCATCTCACTCACCCTCCATCACACTCACCCACCATCCCACTCACTCACCATCCCACTCACCCACAATCCCACTCACTTACCCACCCACCATCTCACTCACTCACCATCCCACTCACTCACCATCTCACTCACCCACCATTCCACTCACTCACCCACCATCCCACTCACCATCTCACTCACCCATCCACCATCTCACCCACTCACCATCTCACTCACCCTCCATCCCACTCACTCACCATCCCACTCACCCACAATCCCACTCACTCACCCACCCACCATCTCACTCACCCTCCATCACACACCATCCCACTCACTCACCATCACACTCACCCACCCACCATCTCACCCACCCACCATCTCACTCACCCTCCAAAACACTCACCCACCATCCCACTCACCCACCATCTCACTCACCATCTCACTCACCATCCCACACACTCACCATCTCACTCACCCACCATCTAATTCACTCACACACCCACCATCCCCCTCGCCCACCATCTCACTCACCCTCCATCACACTCACCCACCATCCCACTCACTCACCATCCCACTCATCCACAATCCCACTCACTTACCCACCCGCCATGTCACTCACCCACCATCCCACTCACTCACCATCTCACTCACTCACCATCCCCCTCACTCACCATCTCACTCACCCACCATCCCACTCACTCACCCACCATCCCACTCACCATCTCACTCACCCACCATCCCACTCACCCACCCACCATCTCACCCACTATCCCACTCACCATCTCACTCACCCACCATCTCACTCACCATGCCATTCACTCACCCACCCACCATCCCACCCACCGACCATCCCACCAACTCACCCACCTACCCGCTCACTCACCCTCGATCTCCCTCACCCACAATCCCACTTACTCACCCACCCACCTTCTCTCTCACCCTCCATCCCACTCACTCACCCACCCACCATCTCACTCACCCTCCATCACACTCACCCACCATCTCACTCACCCACCCACCATCTCACTCACCAACTCACCCACCCACCATCTCACCCACTCACCCACCATCTCACTCACGCACACACCCACCATCTCACTCACCCACCATCTCACTCACCCACCAGTTCACTCACCCACCATCTCACTCACTCACCAGTTCACTCACCCACCATCTCACCCACCCACCATCTCACTCACCATCTCACTCACCATCCCACACACTCACCATCTCACTCACCCACCATCTAATTCACTCACACACCCACCATCCCCCTCGCCCACCATCTCACTCACCCTCCATCACATTCACCCACCATCCCACTCACTCACCATCCCACTCATCCACAATCCCACTCACTTACCCACCCGCCATGTCACTCACCCACCATCCCACTCACTCACCATCTCACTCACTCACCATCCCCCTCACTCACCATCTCACTCACCCACCATCCCACTCACTCACCCACCATCCCACTCACCATCTCACTCACCCACCATCCCACTCACCCACCCACCATCTCACCCACTATCCCACTCACCATCTCACTCACCCACCATCTCACTCACCATGCCATTCACTCACCCACCCACCATCCCACCCACCCACCATCCCACCAACTCACCCATCTACCATCTCACTCACCCTCGATCTCCCTCACCCACAATCCCACTTACTCACCCACCCACCTTCTCTCTCACCCTCCATCCCACTCACTCACCCACCCACCATCTCACTCACCCTCCATCACACTCACCCACCATCTCACTCACCCACCCACCATCTCACTCACCAACTCACCCACCCACCATCTCACCCACTCACCCACCATCTCACTCACGCACACACCCACCATCTCACTCACCCACCATCTCACTCACCCACCAGTTCACTCACCCACCATCTCACTCACTCACCAGTTCACTCACCCACCATCTCACCCACCCACCATCTCACTCACCATCTCACTCACCATCCCACACACTCACCATCTCACTCACCCACCATCTAATTCACTCACACACCCACCATCCCCCTCGCCCACCATCTCACTCACCCTCCATCACACTCACCCACCATCCCACTCACTCACCATCCCACTCATCCACAATCCCACTCACTTACCCACCCGCCATGTCACTCACCCACCATCCCACTCACTCACCATCTCACTCACTCACCATCCCCCTCACTCACCATCTCACTCACCCACCATCCCACTCACTCACCCACCATCCCACTCACCATCTCACTCACCCACCATCCCACTCACCCACCCACCATCTCACTCACTCACCATCTCACTCACCCACCATCTCACTCACCATGCCATTCACTCACCCACCCACCATCCCACCCACCCACCATCCCACCAACTCACCCACCTACCATCTCACTCACCCTCGATCTCCCTCACCCACAATCCCACTTACTCACCCACCCACCTTCTCTCTCACCCTCCATCCCACTCACTCACCCACCCACCATCTCACTCACCCTCCATCACACTCACCCACCATCTCACTCACCCACCCACCATCTCACTCACCAACTCACCCACCCACCATCTCACCCACTCACCCACCATCTCACTCACGCACACACCCACCATCTCACTCACCCACCATCTCACTCACCCTCCATCACACTCACCCACCATCTCACTCACCCACCCACCATCTCACCCACCATCTCACCCACCCACCATCTCACTCACCAACTCACCCACCCACCATCTCACCCACCCACCATCTCACCCGCCACACCTGTGTGCTGGTCGCTGGGCAGCCGCACGCAGGAATCCACGTTGCAGTAGTCGAAGCGGAGCTGTGGGTCTGCCGTGTAGCACCACGGCCCCTTCGTGTCGTTGTCGGGGTTCCGGCAGAAGTTCTCCTCCAGCGCCGCCAACGGATGCGTGGTAGGAGAGTAGCTGCGGGACACAGGGACACGTGGTAGAGACGCAGGGACACGTGGTCGGGGTACAGGGACACGTGGTCGGGACGCAGGGACACGTGGTCGGGACACAGGGACACGTGGTCGGGATACAGGCCACGTGGTCGAGGAGTAGCTGCGGGACACAGGGACACGTGGTTGGGGTACAGGGACACGTGGTCGGGATACAGGCCACGTGGTCGGGACACAGGGACACGTGGTCGGGGTACAGGGACACGTGGTCGGGATACAGGCCACGTGGTCGGGACAGAGGTCACGTGGTCGGGACGCAGGGACACGTGGTCGGGACACAGGGACACGTGGTTGGGGTACAGGGACACGTGGTCGGGACAGAGGTCACGTGGTTGGGGTACAGGGACACGTGGTCGGGACGCAGGGACACGTGGTCGGGGTACAGGGACACGTGGTCGGGGTGCAGGGACACGTGGTCGGGACACAGGGACACGTGGTCGGGGTGCAGGGACACGTGGTCGGGATACAGGCCACGTGGTCGGGACAGAGGTCACGTGGTTGGGGTACAGGGACACGTGGTCGGGACGCAGGGACACGTGGTCGGGTTACAGGGACACGTGGTCGGGGTACAGGGACACGTGGTCGGGGTACAGGGACACGTGGTCGGGACACAGGGACACGTGGTCGGGGTGCAGGGACACGTGGTCGGGACACAGGGACACGTGGTCGGGACACAGGCCACGTGGTCGGGACACAGACCACGTGGTCGAGACACAGACCACGTGGTCGGGACGCAGGGACACAGGCCACGTGGTCGGGATACAGCGACACGTGGTTGGGATACAGGCCACGTGGTCGGGGTACAGGGACACGTGGTTGGGACACAGTGACACATGCTACGTGGGTTCCGATCTCATTACCCACCATCTCATTCACTCACCATCTCACTCACTCAATTCCCCACCATCTCACTCACCCACTCACTCACCCATCATCTCATTCACTCACCCACCATCTCACCCACCCACTCACCCACTATCTCACTCACTCACTTCCCCACCATCTCACTCACTCACCCATCATCTCATTCACTCACCCACCATCTCATTCACTCACTATCTCACTCACTCACTTCTCCACCATCTCACTTACCCACCACCTCACTCACCCACCCACCCACTGACCCACTCACCATCTCACTCACTCAATCACTCCCCCACCATCTCACTCACCCAACATCTCATTCACTCACCCACCATCTCACCCACCCACTATCTCACTCACTCACTTCCCCATCATCTCACTCACCCACCACCTCACTCACCCACCCACCCACCATCTCAACCACCCACTCACCACCATCTCATTCACTCACCATCTCACTCACTCACTTCCCCACCATCTCACTCACCCACCACCTCACTCACCCACCCACCCACTGACCCACTCACCATCTCACTCACTCACTCACTCCCCCACCATCTCACTCACCCACCATCTCACTCACCCACTCACCCACCATCTCACTCACCCACCATGTCACTCAACCACCATCTCATTCGCACAACAACTCACTCACCCACCACCTCACCCACCATCTCACTCGCCCACCATCCCACTTGCTCACCACCTCACCCACTCACCCACCATCTCACTCACCCACCATCCCACTCACCCAGCATTTTACTCACCCACCATCTCACTCACCATCTCACTCACCCACTCACCCACCATCTCACTCAACCACCATCCCAGTTGCTCACCATCTCACCCACTCACCCACCATCTCACTCACCCACTCACCCACCGTCTCATTCACCCACCATCTCACTCACCCACCATCTCACTCAACCACCATCTCACTCACCCACCATCTCACTCACTCACTCACCATCTCACTCACTCACCATCTCACTCACCCACCATCTCACTCACCCACCATCTCATTCGCACAACATCTCACTCACCCAACATCTCACCCACCATCTCACTCACCTACCATCCCACTTGCTCACCATCTCACTCACTCACCCAGCACCTCACTCACCCACCATCTCACTCACCCACCATCTCACTCACCCACCATCTCACCCACCCACCATCTCACTCACCCACCATCCCACTCACGCACCCTCTCACTTACCATCTCACTCACCCACCATCCCACTCACCCACCATCTCACTCACCCACCCACCCACTCACCCACCATCTCACCCACTCACCATCTCACTTGCTCACTCACTCACCCACCATCTCACTCACCGACCATCTCACTCACCCACCCACCCACTCACCCACCATCTCACCCACTCACCATCTCACTCACCCACCATCCCACTTGCTCACCCACTCACCCACCATCTCACTCACCCACCCACTCACCCACCAACTCACCCAGTAACCCACTCACCCACCATCTCAACCACCATCTCACCCACTCACCCACTCATCCACCATCTCACCCACCATCTCACCCACCCACCCACTCACCCACCATCTCACCCACCATCTCACCCACCCACCCACTCACCCACCATCTCACCCACCATCTCACCCACTCACTCACCATCTCACCCACCATCTCACTCACCCACCATCTCACTCACCCACCATCTCACTCACTCACTCACTCCCCCACCATCTCACTCACCCACCATCTCACTCACCCACTCACCCACCATCTCACTCACCCACCATGTCACTCAACCACCATCTCATTCGCACAACAACTCACTCACCCACCACCTCACCCACCATCTCACTCGCCCACCATCCCACTTGCTCACCACCTCACCCACTCACCCACCATCTCACTCACCCACCATCCCACTCACCCAGCATGTTACTCACCCACCATCTCACTCACCATCTCACTCACCCACTCACCCACCATCTCACTCAACCACCATCCCAGTTGCTCACCATCTCACCCACTCACCCACCATCTCACTCACCCACTCACCCACCGTCTCATTCACCCACCATCTCACTCACTCACCATCTCACTCACCCACCATCTCACTCACCCACCATCTCATTCGCACAACATCTCACTCACCCAACATCTCACCCACCATCTCACTCACCTACCATCCCACTTGCTCACCATCTCACTCACTCACCCAGCACCTCACTCACCCACCATCTCACTCACCCACCATCTCACTCACCCACCATCTCACCCACCCACCATCTCACTCACCCACCATCCCACTCACGCACCCTCTCACTTACCATCTCACTCACCCACCATCCCACTCACCCACCATCTCACTCACCCACCCACCCACTCACCCACCATCTCACCCACTCACCATCTCACTTGCTCACTCACTCACCCACCATCTCACTCACCGACCATCTCACTCACCCACCCACCCACTCACCCACCATCTCACCCACTCACCATCTCACTCACCCACCATCCCACTTGCTCACCCACTCACCCACCAACTCACTCACCCACCCACTCACCCACCATCTCACCCAGTAACCCACTCACCCACCATCTCAACCACCATCTCACCCACTCACCCACTCATCCACCATCTCACCCACCATCTCACCCACCCACCCACTCACCCACCATCTCACCCACCATCTCACCCACCCACCCACTCACCCACCATCTCACCCACTATCTCACCCACTCACTCACCATCTCACCCACCATCTCACTCACCCACCATCTCACTCACCCACCATCTCACTCACTCACTTACCCACCATCTCACTCACTCACCAACCATCTCACTCACCCACCATCTCACTCACCCACCCACCCACTCACCCACCATCTCACTCGCTCACCATCTCATCCACCATCTCACCCACCCACCCACCCACCCACTCACCCACTCACCCACCCACTCACCCACCATCTCACCCACTCACCCACCCACTCATCCACCATCTCACTCACCATCTCACCCACCATCTCACTCACCCACCATCTCACTCACCCACCATCTCACTCACTCACTTACCCACCATCTCACTCACTCACCAACCATCTCACTCACCCACCATCTCACTCACCCACCCACCCACTCACCCACCATCTCACTCGCTCACCATCTCATCCACCATCTCACCCACCCACCCACCCACTCACCCACTCACCCACCCACTCACCCACCATCTCACCCACTCACCCACCCACTCATCCACCATCTCACTCACCATCTCACCCACCATCTCACTCACCCACTCACCCACCATCTCACTCACCCACTCACCCACCATCTCACTCACCCACTCACCCACCATCTCACCCACCATCTCACTCACCCACTCACCCACCATCTCACTCACCCACCATCTCACTCACCCACTCACCCACCATCTCACCCACCTACTCACCCACCATCTCACCCACCATCTCACTCACTCACTCACCATCTCACTCACCCACCATCTCACTCACCCACTCACCCACCATCTCACCCACCCACTCACCCACCATCTCACACACTCACTCACCCACCATCTCACTCACCCACTCACTCACCATCTCACTCACTCACCCACTCACCCACCATCTCACTCACCATCTCACCCACCCACCCACCCACTCACCCACTCACCCACCCACTCACCCACCATCTCACTTACCATCTCACCCACCCACCCACCCACTCACCCACTCACCCACCCACTCACCCACCATCTCACTCACTCACTCACCCACTCACCCACCCACCCACTCACTCACCCACTCACCCACGCACCATCTCACTCACCCACTCACTCACCCACCCACTCACTCACTCACCCACCCACCCACTCACTCACCCACTCACCCACCCACTCACTCACTCATTCACCCACTCACCCACCATCTCACTCACCCACTCACCCACCCACTCACTCACCCACTCACTCACTCATTCACCCACCCACCCACCCACTCACTCACCCACTCACCCACCCACTCACTCACCCACTCACTCACTCACCCACCATCTCACTCACTCACCATCTCATCCACCATCTCACCCACCCACCCACCCACTCACCCACTCACTCACCCACTCACCCACTCACCCACCATCTCACTCACCCACCCACCATCTCACCCACCATCTCACCCACCCACTCACTCGCCCTCCGACTCACTCACCGGGGTTTGTGTGGAGTCTCGCTGCTCCACCTCTGACACTCCGTGCCCTGCTGGGTCACGGACTTCGTGCCCCGGTAGTCCGATCCGTGCCCTCGGGCACAGTCCTCGAGATAGTCTGCACCATCAGAGACGCTTCATTTAGGCCGCAGGAAGAATCCGACGAGCCATGAAGCTCTTTCTCACGAATGTCCAGGTAAGGGGCCGTCCTTAAATGACGTCACGCGATTCTGACCCCCACCCCCCTGCCCTCAAATATGACGTCACAAAGCTCTGGCCCCTCCCCCTCCCCTCACCAAAAACAATATTTCCATTTTAAAAATAAAACTCGCTTCAAATCGCTTTAAACTGTTGTCACGTTGTAGTTGTGTATTTAACGTGGCGCTTACAACTCTGATGTTGTAGGTAGAACACATTTATTAACAAAGTCTATTTGATTAAGTAGAAACGTGTTTGTCTATATTTATTTATTTATAAAGTTTTATGTGACGTCACATTTCTCAAACCCCACCCCCTCGTCACGCAGCGTCACAAAAATTCAGACCCCCCCCCACCCGCCCTCAAATATGACGTCACAAAGCTCTGGCCCCTCCCCCTCCACTCACCAAAACCAATATTTCCATTTTGAAAATAAAACTGCGCTTCAAATCGCTTTAAACTGTTGTCACATTGTAGTTGCGTATTTAACGTGGCGCTTACGTTCTGATGTTGTAGGTAGAACACATTTATTAACAAAGTCTATTTGATTAAGTAGAAACGTGTTTGTCTATATTTATTTATTTATAAAGTTTTATGTGACGTCACATTTCTCAAACCCCACCCCCTCGTCACGCGGCGTCACAAAAAGTCAGACCCCACCCCCCGCCCGCCCTCAAATATGACGTCACAAAGCTCTGGCCCCTCCCCTTCCCCTCATCAAAACAATATTTCCATTTTGAAAATAAAACTGCGCTTCAAATCGCTTTAAACTGTTGTCACGTTGTAGTTGCGTATTTAACGTGGCGCTTACAACTGCGATGTTGTAGGTAGAACACATTTATTAACAAAGTCTATTTGAATTTATATGCTTAGCTCTTTGGGTAAAGTCACCAAGTTGAAGGGAAAACAATAAAATATATATAAGTGTTTCATATGTATTTTATTATTTTATTGCTTCCCCTTCAACGTGGTGACTTTACCGAAAGAGCTAAGGATATAAAAGTAAATTTGATTAAGTAGAAACGTTGTTTGACTATAATTATTTATACAAGTTGGGCAATTTTGACGTGACGTCACAGTTCTCAAACCCCCCCCCCCCCACCCCCGCCCCCTCAAGGTGCGTGACGTCATTTATGGGCTCTGCTGAGCTGCTGTTTAGCCCTTCTTCAGATGCATCCACGGGCATCACGAACGATATCAAAGCGACGAAGATCGTGACTCATCATCATCATCATCAAAACTTCGACTTAAAGCGTTCGTGCCTGCAAGGATTCAACTCCTTTGATTCTTCCGGTAAAGTCACCGCCACGTAGAAAATTAGAATAAAATAATAAACTAAAATAACGCGATAAAATTTCTCACGACGTTTCGGCCACCACACGAGTGGCCTTCTTCAGAGCTTCGTCGTCCCGAACAGGTTTGTTCCTTTCACCTGAAGAAGGCCGCTTGTGTTGTGGCCGAAACGTCGTGAGAATTTTTATTGTGTTATTTTATTATTTTATCAATTTATTATTTTATGGTGACTTTACCGAAAGAACCAAAGAAGATAGAAACGTGTTGTCCGTATTTATTTAAAGTTGCGCGTTTTGATGTGACGTCACATTTCCAAAACCCCTCTCCTCCCTCGTGTTATTTTATTATTTTATCCTCATTCTACGTGGTGGTGACTTTACCGAAAGAACCATAGAAGACAATCATCATCATCATCATTTATAGGCGTAGTCAAACGCTCTCCAAACGTGTCACGTCGATTCCACGTGGGGAGGGGAAAACCCATAAGACCTGGAGACGAATCCACGCGACTATTGGGAGAGAGACAGAGAGAGAGACGCAGACTCCAAATCTACAGCAGCAGAAGCAGCAGCAGGGATCAAGGGTCGGAATCTAACCAACGACCACCTGTACACCAGGCGAGGTAGTCAACATCTCATAGCCACTATAGTCTGTAGACAATGCCAGTCTATTGTGCGGTGTTGAGTCTATGGGCAGTGTTGAGTCTATGGTGCAGTGTTGAGTCTATGGGCAGAACTGAGTCTATGGTGCAGTGTTGAGTCTATGGTGCAGTGTTGAGTCTATGGTGCAGTGTTGAGTCTATGGGCAGTGTTGAGTCTAAGGTGCAGTGTTGAATCTATGGTACAGTGTTGAGTCTATGGTGCAGTGTTGAGTCTATGGGCAGTGTTGAGTCTAAGGTGCAGTGTTGAGTCTATGGTACAGTGTTGAGTCTATGAGCAGTGTTGGGTCTATGGGCAGTGTTGAGTCTATGGTGCAGTGTTGAGTCTATGGTGCAGTGTTGAGTCTATGGCGCCGTGTTGAGTCTATGGTGCAGTGTTGAGTCTATGGGCAGTGTTGAGTCTATGGTACGGTGTTGAGTCTATGGTGCAGTGTTGAGTCTATGGTACAGTATTGAGTCAATGGGCAGTGTTGAGTCTATGGGCAGTGTTGAGTTTATGGTGCAGTGATGAATCTATGGGCAGTGTTGAGTCTATGGTGCAGTGTTGAGACTATGGGCAGTGTTGGGTCTATGGGCAGTGTTGAGTCTATGGGGCAGTACTGAGTCTATGGTGCAATGTTGAGTCTATGGTGCAGTGTTGAGTCTATGGGCAGTGTTGAGTCTATGGGCAGTGTTGGGTCTATGGTGCAGTGTTGAGTCTATGGTGCAGTGTTCAGTCTATGGTGCAATGTTGAGTCTATGGTGCAGTGTTAAGTCTATTGTGCAATGTTGAGTCTATGAGCAGTGTTGGGTCTATGGGCAGTGTTGAGTCTATGGTGCAGTGTTGAGTCTATGGGGCAGTGCTGAGTCAATGGTGCAGTGCTGAGTCTATGGTACAGTGTTGAGTCTATGGTGCAGTGTTGAGTCTATGGTACAGTGTTGAGTCTATGGTGCAGTGTTGAGTCTATGGTGCAGTGTTGAGTCTATGGTGCAGTGTTGAGTCTATGGTGCAGTGTTGAGTCTATGGTGCAGTGTTGAGTCTATGGGCAGTGTTGAGTCTATGGGCAGTGTTGAGTCTAAGGTGCAGTGTTGAGTCTATGGTACAGTGTTGAGTCTATGAGCAGTGTTGCGTCTATGGGCAGTGTTGAGTCTATGGTGCAGTGTTGAGTCTATGGTGCAGTGTTGAGTCTATGGCGCCGTGTTGAGTCTATGATGCAGTGTTGAGTCTATGGTACGGTGTTGAGTCTATGCTGCAGTGTTGAGTCTATGGTGCAGTGTTGAATCTATGGTGCAGTGTTGAGTCTATGGTACAGCATTGAGTCTATGGGCAGTGTTGAGTCTATGGGCAGTGTTGAGTCTATGGTGCAGTGATGAATCTATGGGCAGTGTTGAGTCTATGGTGCAGTGTTGAGACTATGGGCAGTGTTGGGTCTATGGGCAGTGTTGAGTCTAAGGTGCAGTGTTGAGTCTATGAGCAGTGTTGGGTCTATGGGCAGTGTTGAGTCTATGGGGCAGTACTGAGTCTATGGTGCAATGTTGAGTCTATGGTGCAGTGTTGAGTCTATGGGCAGTGTTGAGTGTATGGGCAGTGTTGAGTCTAAGGTGCATTGTTGAGTCTATACTACAGTGTTGAGTCTATGAGCAGTTTTGGGTCTATGGGCAGTGTTGAGTCTATGGTGCAGTGTTGAGTCTATGGTGCAGTGTTGAGTCTATGGTGCAGTCTTGAGTCTATGGTGCAGTGTTGAGTCTATTGTGCAGAGTTAAGTCTATGGTGCAGTGTTGAGTCTATGGTGCAGTGTTGAGTCTATGGTGTTGTGTTGAGTCTATGGTGCAGTGTTGAGTCTATGGTGCAGTGTTGAGTCTATGGTGCAGTGTTGAGTCTATGGTGCAGTGTTGAGTCTATGGTGCAGTGTTGCATCTATGGTGCAGTGTTGAGTCTATGGTGCAGTATTGAGTCTATGGTGCAGTGTTGAGTCTATGGTGCAGTGTTGATTCTATGGTGCAGTGTTGAGTCTATGGTGCAGTGTTGAGTCTATGGTGCAGTGTTGAGTCTATGGTGCAGTCTTGAGTCTATGGTGCAGTGTTGAGTCTATTGTGCAGAGTTGAGTCTATGGTGCAGTGTTGAGTCTAAGGTGCAGTGTTGAGTCTATGGTGTTGTGTTGAGTCTATGGTGCAGTGTTGAGTCTATGGTGCAGTGTTGAGTCTATGGTGCAGTGTTGAGTCTATGGTGCAGTGTTGAGTCTATGGTGCAGTGTTGAGTCTATGGTACAGTCTTGAGTCTATAGTGCAGTGTTGAGTCTATGGTGCAGTGTTGAGTCTATGTTGCATTCTTGAGTCTATGGTGCAGTGTTGAGTCTATGGTGCAGTGTTGAGTCTACGGTGCAGTGTTGAGTCTATGGTGCAGTCTTGAGTCTATGGTGCAGTGTTGAGTCTATTGTGCAGAGTTGAGTCTATGGTGCAGTGTTGAGTCTATGGTGCAGTGTTGAGTCTATGGTGCAGTGTTGAGTCTATGGTACAGTGTTGAGTCTATGGTGCAGTGTTGAGTCTGTGGTGCAGTGTTGAGTCTAAGGTGCAGTCTTGAGTCTATGGTGCAGTGTTGAGTCTATGGTGCAGTCTTGAGTCTATGGTGCAGTGTTGAGTCTATGGTGCAGTGTTGAGTCTATGGTGCAGTGTTGAGTCTATGGTGCATGTTGAGTCTATGGTGCAGTGTTGAGTCTAAGGTCCAGTCTTGAGTCTATGGTGCAGTGTTGAGTCTATGGTGCAGTGTTGAGTCTATGGTGCAGTGTTGAGTCTATGGTGCAGTGTTGAGTCTATGGTGCAGTGTTGAGTCTATGGGTAGTGTTGAGTCTATGGTGAAGTGTTGAGTCTATGGTGCAGTGTTGAGTCTATGGTGCAGTGTTGAGTCTATGGTGCAGTGTTGAGTCTATGGGTAGTGTTGAGTCTATGGTGCAGTGTTGAGTCTATGGTGCAGTGTTGAGTCTATGGTGCAGTGTTGAGTCTATGGTGCAGTGTTGAGTCTATGGTGCAGTGTTGAGTTTATGGTGCAGTGTTAAGTGTGTGGTGCAGTGTTGATTCTATGGTGCAGTGTTGATTCTATGGTGCAGTGTTGAGTCTATGGTGCAGTGTTGAGTCTATGGTGAGGTGTTGATTCTATGGTGCAGTGTTGAGTCTATGGTGCAGTGTTGAGTCTATAGTGCCGTGCTGACTTCAAGGTGCAGGTAGGGGGGTCACCGTTTCTCTCGTAGAGGTCGTAGCCACGGCGGTTGGAGGGCTTCTTGAGTAGACTGTTGAGCGGAGTGGTCACGCAGTTCCACACCTTCCAGTCTCGGATGTAGGCGAAGGACCTGCGATGTACATACGGAAGTTTTTCACAGTCGCCGTGGCTAGGAGACTTTGACTACCTCGCCTGGTGTACAGGAGGTCGTGGGTTCCACCACCACCACCACCATCATCACGGTGGCTAGGAGATGTTGACTACGTCGCCTGGTGTACAGGAGGTCGTGGGTTCCACCACCACCATCACCACGGTGGCTAGGAGATGTTGACTACCTCGCCTGGTGCACAGGAGGTCGTGGGTTCCACCACCACCACCACCACCATCACCACGGTGGCTAGGAGATGTTGACTTCCTCGCCTGGTGTACAGGAGGTCGTGGGTTCCACCACCACAATCATCATTACCGTGGCTATGAGATGTTGACTACCTCGCCTGGTGTACAGGAGGTCGTGGGTTCCACCACCACTACCATCATCATCACGGTGGCTAGGAGATGTTGACTACCTCGCCTGGTGTACAATAGGTCGTGGGTTCCACCACCACCATCACCACGGTGGCTAGGAGATGTTGACTACCTCGCCTGGTGTACAGGAGGTCATGGGTTCCACCACCATCATCACGGTGGCTATGAGATGTTGACTACCATGCCTGGTGTACAGGAAGTTGTGGGTTCCACCACCACAATCATCATTACGGTGGCTATGAGATGTTGACTACCTCGCCTGGTGTACAGGAGGTCGTGGGTTCCACCACCACCACCACCACCATCACCACGGTGGCTATGAGATGTTGACTACCTCGCCCGGTGTACAGGAGGTCGTGGTTTCCACCACCAACATCACGGTGGCTATGAGATGTTGACTACCTCGCCTGGTGTACAGGAGGTCGTGGGTTCCACCACCACCATCATCATCACAGTGGCTAGGAGATGTTGACTACCTCGCCTGCTATGCAGGAGGTCGTAGCTTCCACTACCACCACCACCACCACCACGGTGGTTACGAGATGTTGACTACCTCGCCAGGTATACAGGAGATTGTGGGTGCCACCACCATCATCATCACAGTGGCTTGTAGATGTTGACTACCTCGCCTTGTGTACAGGAGGTCGTGGGTTCCACCACCATCATCATCATCACGGTGGCTAGGAGATGTTGACTACCTCGCCTGGTGTACAGGAAGTCGTGGGTTCCACCACCACCACCACCATCACCACGGTGGCTAGGAGATGTTGACTACCTCGCCTGGTGTACAGGAGGTCGTGGGTTCCACCACCACCACCACCATCATCATCACGGTGGCTAGGAGATGTTGACTACCTCGCCTGGTGTACAGGAGGTCGTGGGTTCCACCACCACCACCACCATCATCACGGTGGCTAGGAGATGTTGACTACCTCGCCTGGTGTACAGGAGGTCGTGGGTTCCACCACCACCACCACCACCATCATCATCACGGTGGCTATGAGATGTTGACTACCTCGCCTGGCTACAGGAGGTCGTGGGTTCCACCACCACCACCACCACGGTGGCTAGGAGATGTTGACTACTTCGCCTGGTGTACAGGAAGTCGTGGGTTCAGCCCAGACATTGACGCCTGCTGCTGCTGCTATTTGTATCTTTGTCTCTCACCGTGGTGATCCCCGCGTGGATTTTTCTCAGGACCCTCCGAGTTTGTCCCTCCTCCGCATTCGGACTCGAATTCGCACGGCGCACAGGAGAAATCTGCCCCCCATGACCCCAAAGAACGGAGCGAACCCTTGCCGCGAATGGCTTCCCGTTGCGGACGGACGACGTTTCGGGCGCCGGACCTTCTCCTACCTGCAGACGAAGTTGGCCTCGTCCTCGCACTGACGAGCGCACTCCTGGACGGAGGTCACCGTGTGGCGTTCCTTGGCGGCCGAGTAGAGGTAGAGACCCACCGTGTGGGAGTAGCCCTTGATAGGTGCCGACACGACTGTGACACACAGGTGGGTGGGTGAGTGGGTGGGTGAGTGGGTGGGTGAGTGGGTGAGTGGGTGAGTGTGTGAGTGGGTGAGTGGGTGAGTGAGTGGGTGGGTGAGTGGGTGGGTTGGTGAGTGAGTGAGTGAGTGGATGAGTGAGTGAGTGGGTGGGTGAGTGGGTGGGTGAGTGGGTGGGTGAGTGGGTGAGTGGGTGGGTGGGTGAGTGGGTGAGTGGGTGGGTGAGTGAGTGGGTGAGTGGGTGAGTGGGTGGGTGAGTGGGTGAGTGAGTGGGTGGGTGGGTGGGTGAGTGGGTGAGTGGGTGGGTGAGTGGGTGAGTGGTTAGTTGGGTGAGTGTGTGAGTGGGTGGGTGGGTGGGTGAGTCAGTGGGTGTGTGAGTGGGTGGGTGGGTGAGTGAGTGGGTGGGTGGGTGAGTGGGTGAGTGGGTGAGTGGGTGGGTGGGTGAGTGAGTGTGTGAGTGGGTGGGTGAGTGGGTGAGTGGTTAGTTGGGTGAGTGAGTGAGTGGGTGGGTGAGTGGGTTGGTGAGTGAGTGGGTGGGTGGGTGGGTGAGTGGGTGGGTGGGTGAGTCAGTGGGTGGGTGAATGGGTGAGTGGGTGGGTGAGTGAGTGAGTCGGTGGGTGGGTGAGTGGGTGAGTGGGTAGGTGGGTAAGTGAGTGGGTGGGTGAGTGGGTGGGTGGGTGAGTGAGTGGGTGGGTGGGTGAGTGGGTGAGTTGGTGGGTGAGTGAGCGAGTGGGTGAGTGGGTGGGTGGGTGAGTGGGTAAGGGGTGGGTGGGTGAGTGAGTGAGTGGGTGAGTGGGTGAGTGAGTGGGTGGGTGGGTGAGTTAGTGGGTGGGTGAGTTAGTGGGTGGGTGAGTGAGTGGATGGGTGAGTGAGTGAGTGGGTGAGTGGGTGGGTGAGTAGGTGGGTGAGTGAGTAAGTGGGTGAGTGAGTGGGTGGGTGAGTGGGTAAGTGAGTGGGTGAGTGGGTGATTTAGTGGGTGGGTGAGTGGGTTGGTAGGTGAGTGGGTGGGGGCGTGAATGAGTGAGTGGGTGAATGAGTGGGTGGGTGAATGAGTGGGTGATTCAGTGAAGGAATGAGTGAGTCAGCGAGCTTTAATCAGCAGGGTTGGAGGTGGCTGAATCAGAGAGTGGATGCGAACACCAAATCCAGTCTGGAACTCATCACCACATTACTGCCCTTACTCGCATAGGCGTGGGTGAATGGGTGCGTGGGTGAGTGGGTGAGTGAGTGGGTGAGTGAGTGGGTGGGTGAGTGGGTGGGTGGGTGAGTGAGTGACTGAGTGGATGAGTGAGTGAGTGAGTGGGTGGGTGGGTGAGTGAGTGGGTGGGTGAGTGAGTGGGTGGGTGGGTGAGTGAGTGAGTGAGTGGATGAGTGAGTGAGTGGGTGGGTGAATGGGTGGGTGAGTGGGTGGGTGAGTGGGTGAGTGGGTGGGTGGGTGAGTGGGTGAGTGGGTGGGTGAGTGAGTGGGTGAGTGGGTGAGTGGTGGGTGAGTGGGTGAGTGAGTGGGTGGGTGGGTGGGTGAGTGGGTGAGTGGGTGGGTGAGTGGGTGAGTGGTTAGTTGGGTGAGTGTGTGAGTGGGTGGGTGGGTGGGTGAGTCAGTGGGTGTGTGAGTGGGTGGGTGGGTGAGTGAGTGGGTGGGTGGGTGAGTGGGTGAGTGGGTGAGTGGGTGGGTGGGTGAGTGAGTGTGTGAGTGGGTGGGTGAGTGGGTGAGTGGTTAGTTGGGTGAGTGAGTGAGTGGGTGGGTGAGTGGGTTGGTGAGTGAGTGGGTGGGTGGGTGGGTGAGTGGGTGGGTGGGTGAGTCAGTGGGTGGGTGAATGGGTGAGTGGGTGGGTGAGTGAGTGAGTCGGTGGGTGGGTGAGTGGGTGAGTGGGTAGGTGGGTAAGTGAGTGGGTGGGTGAATGGGTGGGTGGGTGAGTGAGTGGGTGGGTGGGTGAGTGGGTGAGTTAGTGGGTGAGTGAGAGAGTGGGTGAGTGGGTGGGTGGGTGAGTGGGTAAGGGGTGGGTGGGTGAGTGAGTGAGTGGGTGAGTGGGTGAGTGAGTGGGTGGGTGGGTGAGTTAGTGGGTGGGTGAGTTAGTGGGTGGGTGAGTGAGTGGGTGGGTGAGTGAGTGAGTGGGTGAGTGGGTGGGTGAGTAGGTGGGTGAGTGAGTAAGTGGGTGAGTGAGTGGGTGGGTGAGTGGGTAAGTGAGTGGGTGAGTGGGTGATTTAGTGGGTGGGTGAGTGGGTTGGTAGGTGAGTGGGTGGGGGCGTGAATGAGTGAGTGGGTGAATGAGTGGGTGGGTGAATGAGTGGGTGATTCAGAGAAGGAATGAGTGAGTCAGCGAGCTTTAATCAGCAGGGTTGGAGGTGGCTGAATCAGAGAGTGGATGCGAACACCAAATCCAGTCTGGAACTCATCACCACATTACTGCCCTTACTCGCATAGGCGTGGGTGAATGGGTGCGTGGGTGAGTGGGTGAGTGAGTGGGTGAGTGAGTGGGTGGGTGAGTGGGTGAGTCGGTGAGTGATTGAGTGGGTGGGTGGGTGGCTGGGTGGCTGGGTGAGTGGGTGAGTGAGTGAGTGGGTGAGTGATTGGGTGGGTGGCTGGGTGGGTGAGTGAGTGAGTCGGTGAGCGATTGAGTGGGTGGGTGGGTGGGTGGCTGGGTGAGTGGGTGAGTTAGTGGGTGAGTGAGTGAGTCGGTGAGTGATTGAGCGGGTGGGTGGGGGGCTGGGTGAGTGGGTGAGTAAGTTAGTGGGTGGGTTAGTGGGTGGGTTACTGGGTGGGTGAATGAGTGAGTCAGCGAGCTGTAATTAGCAGGGTTGGAGGTGGCTGAATCAGAGTGTCGATGTGACCACCAAATCCAGTCTGTGACTCATCACCAGAGTACTGCCCTCACTCGCATATGCGTGGGTGAATGGGTTCGTGGGTGAATGGGTGAGTGAGTGAGTGGGTGAGTGAGTGGGTGGGTAGCTTGGTGGGTGAGTGGGTGAGTCGGTGAGTGATTGAGTGAGTGGGTGAGTGGCTGGGTGAGTGGGTGAGTGAGTTAGTGGGTGAAGGAGTGAGTCAGCGAGCTGTAATCAGCAGGGTTGGAGGTGGCTGAATCAGAGAGTGGATGCAAACACCAAATCCAGTCTGGAACTCATCACAACATTACTGCCCTTACTCGCATAGGCGTGGGTGAATGGGTGCGTGGGTGAGTGGGTGAGTGGGTGAGTGAGTGGGTGGCTGGGTGAGTGGGTGAGTTAGTGGGTGGGTGAGTGAGTGAGTCGGTGAGTGATTGAGTGGGTGGGTGGCTGGGTGAGTGGGTGAGTTAGTGGGTGGGTGAGTGAGTGAGTCGGTGAGTGATTGAGCGGGTGGGTGAGTGGCTGGGTGAGTGAGTTAGTGGGTGGGTTAGTGGGTGGGTTAGTGGGTGGGTGAATGAGTGACTCAGCGAGCTGTAATCAGCAGGGTTGGAGGTGGCTGAATCAGAGTGTGGATGTGACCACCAAATCCAGTCTGGGACTCATCATCAGAGTACTGCCCTCACTCGCGGGTGGGGGGGAAGCAAAGATCCCCCGTATAGCCTTAACAGACTGTAGGGGCAAGTGCTGTTAGCGAGCACCTATGAAGGCCGGAACGGTACACGAGGGGGTGGGTGGACAGCACCACGCCCGACCGCCTTTGTCTCCCTAGTGGCGATGTTTACACACCGCACCAGGTACTCATTTGAGGCTGAGTCGACCTAGGGGAGGCCCGGGACCGGTTCAGATAATCGTCACTGGTGTTGGCCGTGAGCGGGAATCGAACCCGGGTCGCCAGGTTCATAGCGCAGCGCGCTAACCGCTACACTGACACACACACACGGACACACACACGGACACGGACACGGACACACACACGGACACGGACACACACACACACGGACACGGACACACACACACACGCACGGACACACACACACACACACTGACACGCACACACACACGGACACACACACACACGAACACACACACACACGCACACACACACACGGACACACACACACACGCACACACACACACGGACACACACGGACACACACACACGGACACACACACACTGACACACACACGCACACACACACGGACACACACACACACGGATACACACACACGGACACACACACACGGACATAACAACAACCGCCATTCGCCACTAAGTGGCGGTGACGTCACCACGACGCTTGTGCCAGGCTATGTGCACCCTGAGGCCACGTGAAGTGTCGAACGCCCGCTGGCAAGAGGTCACGAGGCAGACCCAGGTGCCACGGGTCGACTGACTGAGATGACTGGCTGATGCACCACCTGTGCCTCCTACTGTGCCACCCTGCTGTGCTTTAGCCACCCGGCGCTCCGCTCGTTGTTGTGAGCATCGCTCCTCTGCCCTCCGTTGTTTTTGGAGGGCGACTGCCTCCAACTGCCCAGTAGCATCCTTCACGAGCCTCCTCCACAGAGGCCGATCTTGACACCGCTGGTACCGGTCATCAGCAAGTCCACTCAGCTCCACGTCTTCCTGTACCACGTCACTCCATCTCTTCTCTAGCCCGTGCCGCGCCCGCTTAGCCCCCTCAATCCGGCCGAACAAAAGCTGTTTCGGCATGCGGTGGCTGGGCATGCGGGCTACATGACCCAGCCAACGCACCCTTGCCTGCCGGAGGAGCTCACCGATGGGACCTTGCCCAGATCTTTCAAGGATTTGTGAGCTCCTCACACAATCCAGTCTGGTTAAACCCAGGATGGATCGTAGGCAGGCCAGCCTAAATGTTTCTAACCGGCGAACGGACACACACACACGGACACACACACACGGACACACACACACGGACACACACAAAAGGACACACACACACTGACACACACACACACACACAGACACACACACTCTGACACACACACACACTGACACACACACACACTGACACACACACTGACACACACACACACGGACACACACACACGGACAAACACACACTGACACACACACACACACTGACACACACTCACACGGACACACACACACTGACATACGCACACACGGACACACACACACACTGACACACACACACTGACACACACACACTGACATACACACACTGACACACATACACACGGACACACACACACACTGACACACACACTCACACGGACACACAAAGATAAAGATCCCCCATATAGCCTTAACAGACTGTAGGGGCAAGTGCTGTTAGCGAGCACCTATGAAGGCCGGAACGGTACACGAGGGGGTGGGTGGCCAGCACCACGCCCGACCGCCTTTGTCTCCCTAGTGGCAATGTTTACACACCGCACCAGGTACTCATTTGAGGCTGAGTCGACCTAGGGGAGGCCCAGGACCGGTTCAGATAATCGTCACTGGTGTCGGCCGTGAGCGGGACACACACACACTGACACACACACACTGACACACACACACACACTGACACACGCACACACGGACACACACACACACTGACACACACACACTGACACACACACACACACTGACACACGCACACACGGACACACACACACACTGACACACACACACTGACACACACACTGACACACTGACACACACACACTGACACACACACACTGACACACACACACACTGACACACACACACGGACACACACACACACTGACACACACACATTGACACACACACACGGACACACACACACACTGACACACACACACTGACACACACACACTGACACACACACACTGACACACACACACACTGACACACACACACACGGACACACACACACACTGACACACACACTGACACACACACACACTGACACACACACACACTGACACACACACACACTGACACACACACACACTGACACACACACACGGACAAACACACACTGACACACACACACACACACTGACACACGCACACACGGACACACACACACTGACACACACACACACTGACACACACACACACTGACACACGCACACACGGACACACACGCACTGACACACACACGGACACACACACACACTGACACACACACTCACACGGACACACACACGCACGGACACACACATGCACGGACACACACACACACACGGACACACACACACACTGACACACACACACGGACACACACACACACTGACACACACACACGGACACACACACACTGACACACACACACGGACACACACACACGCACGTGCTCACAGTCTTCACACCTCACCTGGCGTCACCAGCTGGGACAGCAGAAGGAGGAGCAGGAAGAGGTTTTGTGGAGCGGCGGTGAACATCGTGACGGAGCGGGCTGCGATGAAGATGACTCTCTCGGCGGGAGCCGCGATCACTGTCAAACACCGCTCACTCACCCACCCACTCACACACCCACCCACTCACACACCCACTCACACACCCAATCACTCACACACCCATTCACACACCCACCCACACACACACCCACTCACACACACACACCCACTCACACACACACCCACTCACTCACACACCCACTCACTCACACACGCACACACACACCCACTCACACACCCACCCACTCACACACTCACACACACACACACCCACTCACTCACCCACCCACTCACACACCCACTCACCCACCCACTCACTCACACACCCACTCACCCACACATCCACTCACACACCCACTCACACACCCACCCACTCACCCACCCACTCACTCACCCACCCACCCACTCACTCACCCACTCACACACTCACCCACCCACTCACTCACCCACCCACACACACACCCACTCACACACACACCCACACACACACTCACACACCCACCCACTCACACACCCACTCACACACACACCCACTCACACACTCACACACCCACTCACACACACACCCACTCACACACCCACCCACACACACACCCACTCACACACCCACTCACACACCCACTCACACACCCACTCACACACACACCCACTCACACACCCACTCACACACCCACCCACTCACACACACACACACACCCACCCATATACACACCCACTCATACACACACTCACTCACACACCCACTCACACACACACCCACTCACACACCCACTCACACACCCACACACACACCCACTCACACACCCACCCACACACACACCCACTCACACACCCACTCACACACCCACCCACACACACACCCACTCACACACCCACTCACACACACACCCACTCACACACCCACCTACACACACACCCACTAAGACACACACCCACACACACACCCACTCACACACACACCCACTCACAAACCCACTCACACACCCACTCTCACACACACCCACTCACACCCACTCACACACACACACACCCACTCACACACCCACTCACACACCCACTCACTCACACACCCATTCACACACCCACACACACACACCCACTCACACACACACCCACTCACACACCCACCAACTCACACACTCACACACACAACAACAACCGCCATTCGCCACTAAGTGGCGGTGACGTCACCACGACGCTTGTGCCAGGCTATGTGCACCCTGAGGACACGTGAAGTGTCGAACGCCCGCTGGCAGGAGGTCACGGGGCAGACCCAGGTGCCACGGGTCGACTGACTGAGATGACTGGCTGATGCACCACCTGTGCCCCCTACTGTGCCAACCTGCTGTGCTTTAGCCACCCGGCGCTCCGCTCGTTGTTGTGAGCGTCGCTCCTCCGCCCTCCGTTGGTGTTGGAGGGCGACTACCTCCAACTGCCCAGTAGCGTCCTATACGAGTCTCCTCCACAGAGGTCGATCTTGACACCGCTGGTACCAGTCATCGGCAATTCCACTCAGCTCCACGTCCTCCTGTACCACATCACTCCATCTCTTCTCTAGCCCGTGCCGCGCCCGCTTAGCCCCCTCAATCCGGCCGAACAAAAGCTGTTTCGGCATGCGGTGGCTGGGCATGCGGGCTACATGACCCAGTCATCGCAGCCTTGCCCGCCGGAGGAGCTCACCGATGGGACCTTGCCCAGATCTTTCAAGGATTTGTGAGCTCCTCACACAATCCAGTCTGGTTAAACCCAGGATGGATCGTAGGCAGGCCAGCCTAAATGTTTCTAACCGGCGAAGATGTTCCATTAGGGGGGGTCCACGTTTCGCAAGCGTAGAGAAGGGAGGGAATGACCGTGGCCGAGAAGACCTGAAGCTTAGTGCGGAGCGACAGACCAGGTAGCTTCCACACAGCGTTATGCAACCGATGAAAAGATATTGCCGCTCGACTGATTCAGAGTGAGACCTCTGCTGTTAAACTGGAGCCAGTCATAAGCACACTGCCCAGGTATGGGAAACTCTCCACTCTCTCCACAACTGCCCCATCACCGATTGGGAGTTGTGGGGGTGTTGTGTCCGATGGTACAAAATACCCAGGCAGGTGCTTAGTTTTGGTGGGGCTGATGGTAAGGCCCCACCTCTTAGTGGCACGCTCCAGTCTCAGCAGCAGCGTCTCCAACTCCTCCTCTGACTGAGCAGCTATTACCAAATCATCAGCATACATAACGTGGTTGACCAATAGGGAGCCATCCCTTGACCGCACCCGGGCATCGATCAGCCTCCCATTATATCTGTACCATATGGAGATTCCCCCGGTACAGCTAATGAAGGCTTCACGAACTACGTGGTCAAAATAGATGTTAAATAATGTGGGAGCCAGAGGACATCCCTGTCACGCCCCAAGGTGTACAGGGAATGGCTCCGACTCCCAGCCACGTAGTTTTACCCGGGCCCGCTCATCATTATGAAGGTCCTTAAATGATTGTGAGCAGAGGGTCAGGTACTCCAAAAGCACGAAGAACAACCCAGAGCCCAGGCCTACTGATGGTATCATAGGCCTTGACCAGGTCAATAAAGCAGAGATGTAGGTCTTGTTGGAATTCCCTACACCTCTGCTGTAGCAGACGGACGGAAAATATGGCATCTGTGCAGGACCGCCCTTTCCTGAAACCGTATTGGGGCTCCGCAAACCTCTCCTCAGCGTGCCTGGCAAGCCGATGCTTAATAATCCTTGCCAGGACCTTTCCCGGCACACTGAGGAGTGAAATGCCCCTGTAGTTGTTACAGTCTGTGCGGTCCCCCTTCTTAAAAAGGGTGACCACCAGGGCATCCTTCCAATCTTGCGGAACCCGTCCAGAGGTCCAGACTGTTGTTATGATGTCATATAGGGCAGTCTGTGCACAAACGCCACCCTCCCTCAGCATTTCGCTTGGGAGATCATCTCTGCCCGCTGCCTTTCCTGGTCTCAGACTCCGGATCGCCTTCAGTACTTCCTCAACAGATGGCACCTCAGCCAGCCACTCACAGGGGGTGACTTCTTCCAATGTTTGAGGCACCGCAGCCTCAGCAGGGTCATCCCTACTTTGTGCCACGATGTTTTCCTGGCTGAGAGATTTCCCCTCCCCCAGGACCTCACAGAAATGCTCAGCAAATCTGCAAACCTGTTCCTGGGGGTCAGAGATTGTATCACCGTTTTTTCTCCTAATGATGGTAATAGGTGTGGCGCTGCAGCTAACTTTTTTGATGGAGTTAAATAGAGATTTGTGATCACGGCCACTGAGGCAGACTCCATCTCCTCAGCAACCCGCGACCACCACCCATCCTTGCAGCGCCTCACGGCTCTCCGAACCTCCGAGCGAAGGCTGCGGTAAGCCTCCTCATTCTCTGACGTGGGATTCTGTAGCCGATGACAGTGGGCCTGTCGCTTTTTCTCAACCATCCTGAACACCTCCTCTGTCAGCCAGGGTCTCTGGGGAGGTCCGGACCGCGTACCCAAAGCAGCCATTGCAGCTGCATGAGTCACAGTCCTAAACCTCGCCCATTTACCCTCGACATCAGGAGGAGTGGGGGACGATGCCAACCCCAGCTGCAAGCGATGATGAAATTCTCGCTTGCAACTTTCATCAGATAACTGAGACCAGGCCACTTTAGGTTGGAATGGGGTCCTGGGTGTACACCCACCGCCGGAGTGTAAGAATGGCAGGCGCATCTTACAGATGACTAGTCGATGGTCAGTGGGCAGATCAGCTCCACGGAAGGTCCTGGTGTCAAGGACATGGGCTCGCATCCGCTGGTCCGTCACTATGTAGTCCAGCAGATGTTCTTGCTTGGACCCGACATGCATCCATGATGTTGTGTGGATGCGCCGATGCCGGAACAGCGTGTTGGTAATTACAAGCCCATGGGCTGCACAAAAATCTAGCAGACTCCTACTGTTGTTATTGAGCTGATCTGGCCCATGTCCTCCAATCACTCCAGACCAGGTGCCAGCATCATGACCAACTCGGGCATTGAAGTCACCCAACAAGATGACTCTATCCCGAGGGACCACTCTAGCCAGCACCTGTGAATAGGAGGTCATAGAAGCCATCTGACTCATCGGCTTTGCCTGCATCCCTCCACGCATGTTCGTCTTCGGTGGGGGCATAAGTAACCACGACCACCACTCCTCGCCTCCGGTTGATGGGAAGGCGAGCCCAAAGTAGCCTGGGGATTACAGCTTCCCACACCTCACCGCCACGCTCCCACGCCCCCTTCATTCTTTTGTTTAAAAGAAGAGCCACACCCTGTTGTTTGGCAGTCTGCTGCCCCGAGTAGAGGACTGTCCACTCCTCATGGTGGCAGGAGCCAGAACCGGTCCACCGGACCTCCTGAATGCCACAGAGATCCTGGTGGTACCGGTCCAGCTCCCGACAGAGGAGTGGCAGCCTCTCCTCCGCAGTGAGCGTTCGAATATTCCACGTGGCCATCCGTAATGGCTTTTCGTTGTTTCTGGAGGAGCCCCGAGGGTAGAGATTCAATCTCCTGGCTCCGCCAATTGGGGTTTGGCCAGGAGACGTCATAGACGCCTGTCCCCCCGGGGCCTCCGGTCACAAGCTTATTAGTTAAATTTTGTATTAGTAGTTTAGTGGTAATTAATTGAAGGTGTAGGGGTTACCAGCACCTCGCACCCGTCCAGAGCCCCTGTTTAGCTACTGTGGTGGACACAGACGCCATGAAGGGAGGAGCCAATCGGAATTGGACCTCCCCCCACAGCACTGTCGACGACAGAGTTGCCCGTCCGGCACCGCGAGGAGGTAGGGAGTTGTTTTGCCCCCACCCACTCACACACCCACCCACTCACACACCCACTCACTCACACACCCACTCACCCACTCACACACTCACACACCCAGCCACTCATACACCCAGCCACTCACCCACTCACACACCCACTCACACAAAGATAAAGATCCCCCATATAGCCTTAACAGACTGTAAGGGCAAGTGCTGTTAGCGAGCACCTATGAAGGCCGGAACGGTACACGAGGGGGTGGGTGGCCAGCACCA